CATTTTAATAACAGGGCTGGGCTCCACCCCAGCCGTGGCTGCGTGCCAGGGCTCTGGAGCCAGCCCTTGGAGCTGCTGCTGGAGCTGGGGCTCAGCCCCACAGCCCAGCTCAGCCTCCTGCAGCCAGGCTGGCCTCCGTGGCTTGGTTTTAATCCTCGCTGATGAGGTCTGGGTGTCCCCTTTGGTGATGGGGACGGGGTTTGGAGGGGATCAGCTCCGTGTGCTGCGATCCCAGTGAGGAGATGTGATCCACCCCTCCTCCTTGCTCCTATCCTGATTCTGTGATCAGCTTTGGGGAGCCCTGGTGGGGCTTTTCCCCTCTCCATCCTGCCTTCCCCACTGCAGGACCGGGAGAAATCCCCCTGTACCCTGACACTGATGATGGTTCTTCCCCAGATTCCAGCAGATAAACCTCAGATCTTGGGGAAAAGCCTTTGCTGAGACCCTGGATGGGACAGCAGCAGGGGGGTGGCACTGCCAGAGCTGCTGGGGACATCCCTGTGTGGGTGACCCCACGTTGGGGACAGCGAGGAGTGACCTGGCAGGGCTGCGTGGCTTTGGGGACATCCCTGGGGATGGGGATCCCTCTCCCCGAGCCGCCTTTTCCGGGCTGCTCTTTGAACCCGAGCAGTTGTGCTCTATTTGTCCAACAGCGGCTGCAATCAGGGAAACAGCCGCGCTAATTGGATTGGGCCGGCGGCGCTAATTGGCTGCGCTAATTGGCTGTTTGGAGCAGCCGCTCCCAATCAAGCTGTGCGAGCCTTTCAGAGCCCTGCGAGCCTTTACCAGCCTGGCAAAGCGCTCCGTGGAGGGCACCTGCGGAACCATCCCCGTGCTCCTAAAGCCCTTTTCATCCCTGCCGATCCCCCCGGCCCTTTTCTTTCTTTCTCTGTAACAACAAATTGGGGGAAATCCTAGAAATCCCCGAGCAGCTCCTGCCTGGGGTGGCCTGGAGGAGGTGACAGTGCTGGGGGGGGACCCGTGGGGTGGCAGGGGTCCCACCCTGCTGGGTTTGGGATGGGGGAGAGGGTGGGGCACGGAGCTCAGGTGTGCTCAGAGCTGTGCTGGTGCTGCTGGGTTTGGCCCTGGTGGCAATTGTCATTGTCCTGGATCAGGCAGGACAGTCCCTGCTGCAGGACAGGGTTTGGGGGGAGAGCTGATCCCATTGCTCTGAGCAGGGTTTGTGTGAAGGGCTGATCCCACTGCTCTGAGCAGGGTTTGTGTGGAGAGCTGATCCCACTGCAGGACAGGGTTTGGATGAAGAGCTGATCCCACTGCAGGACAGGGTTTGTGTGAAGGGCTGATCCCACTGCAGGACAGGGTTTTGCGAAGGGCTGATCCCACTGCTCTGAGCAGGGTTTGGGGGGAGAGCTGATCCCACTGCAGGACAGGGTTTGGGGGGAGAGCTGATCCCATTGCTCTCACCAGGGAGCTGATCCCACTGCAGGACAGGGTTTTGTGAAGGGCTGATCCCACTGCAGGACAGGGTTTGGGGGGAGAGCTGATCCCACTGCAGGACAGGGTTTGTGTGAAGGGCTGATCCCACTGCAGCACAGGGTTTGTGGGGAGAGCTGATCCCACTGCAGGACAGGGTTTTGTGAAGGGCTGATCCCACTGTTCTGAGCAGGGTTTTGTGAAGAGCTGATCCCACTGCAGGACAGGGTTTTGTGAAGGGCTGATCCCACTGCAGGAGCAGGGTTTGGGGGGAGAGCTGATCCCACTGCAGGACAGGGTTTTGTGAAGGGCTGATCACACTGCTCTGAGCAGGGTTTGTGTGAAGGGCTGATCCCACTGCAGGACAGGGTTTGCTCACACTCCTCCATGCAGCATCTCCCTCCCAGGGAGCTCCTGAGCCACCAGCCCGGCCCTGGGGCTGCCCAAGGGCTGCTCACTCCTGCCAGGACCCAGGGAGGGAAAACCACCCCTGGTTGTGCTTCAGTGGGGACCACTGAGGGTGGTGAGGCCCTGGCACAGCCACCCCTGGGACACCAAACACGGGGAGAACGTTGCAGAACTCATTTATTTCACCCCAAATGCCCTGATTTTGCTAAAAACCTGCACGTGAGCTGCTCACCCTCCACGGCCTGGGCTGCATCCAGGGACCCTCCTGCAGGGCCCCCCAGCTCCCCCAGACACGGGGCTGGGGTGACCTTGGGCCCATCCCAAGCCCTCGGCGCCGGGCCCTGACCGCAGACTCGTGTTTTCAGCCTTTTTCCCAAATTTTGGAGGTGAGAAAGGAAGGCTCTGACTGCTCTGCAGGGAGCTGGCGGTGCCAAGAGGCCCCGTGGCACCAGCCCTGGCAGCCCCCAGGCCGAGGGTGAGGAGGGGGAGGAGGGGGAGTTTCCTGCTCCCCCTGCACCCTCGCGGAGTCTCCCTGGCTGCTCTGGGACAGGAGTTTGTCAGGATCTGCTCCTGCCAAACGTTCCCATTTTGACAAACTGGCATTTTCCAAGAGCAACATTGGCCCTCCCAAGCCAAACAGGGAGCTGGAGCAGCTCCTGCTTCCAAAGGCTCAGGGAAAGGCAGCCAGGGCTGGCCAGGGGCAGGGTTTGGATGGGTTTGTGCTGATGGAACTGCTCTGATAGTGATGAGATAGAACAGAGCCTTGGCAGAGTTCAAGGATAAAGCAGGGATTTATTAAAAGGCCTCAGTAGATACACCTTGGGCAGTGCAAGAGCCTGGCTGTGGCTACACCCAAGATGAACCAAAATGGTCACAAAATGGACGAGGTCTCACATTTTTATAAGTTTTGGTCCATTTCCATATTGGGGTTAATTGTCCAATTACAGCTGTAGGTTATGAAGTTCCATCCTTCCTGTTTTTCTCTCTTTAATTCCCTGTTGTTTGCACTTTTTGGGCCTGGAGCTGCAGTGGTGTCCTTGGTTCTGGGGCTGGAAAAGGAAAAGGATTGTTCTGTGTGACTGAGCTGTGAGGAGAACTGCTGACACTTTGTATGGAGTTCAGAGTCATGGACCAATGCAGTGCAGAATCTGGGAAATAGGAAATAAACCAAGGCACCACCAGCTGCAGCAGCAGTAGCTGCCCTCCCTCGGTGCCATCGCTCCCTCCCGGCCCTGGGAGCTCGGGGCTGGGGCTGGGAGGGGTCTCGGGCTGTCCCACCCCTGTGAGAGCTCCGGCGGGCGCCAGCCACGAGAGGGCACAAAGCCCTGGCCCTGCAGCCAGGCAGCCCTGTCACCGTGTCACTGTGTCCCCCTGCAGCCCTGTCACTGTGTCACCCTGCCACCCTGCAGCCCTGTCCCCGTGTCACTGTGTCCCCCTGCAGCCCTGTCACTGTGTCACCCTGCCACCCTGAACCCGTGTCACCCTGCAGCCCTGTCACCCTGTCCCCGTGTCCCCCTGCAGCCCTGTCACCGTGTCACCCTGCCATCCTGTCCCTGTGTCACCCTGCAGCCCTGTCACCCTGTCACTGTGTCCCCCTGCAGCCCTGTCCCCGTGTCACCCTGCAGCCCTGTCACCGTGTCCACTGTGTCCCCTGCCATCCTGTCCCCGTGTCCCCCTGCAGCCCTGTCACCGTGTCACCCTGCAGTTTTGTCCTCCTGCAGCTTTGTCACCCCCCAGCCCTGTCCCAGTGCCACCCTGCAGCTTTGTCACCCCACAAGTCCCCACTGGTGCCACTGTGGCCCTACAGGACCCTCACTGACCCCATCCCAGGCCATGGATCCCCACCAGCCCCCAGCTCTTGGAAAACCTGGGGATTAATTAAACAGCGTTAATTACATTAATCGGCTAATTAAGACACCAGCCTGGGATCCTGCTCTGGTGCTGGAGTGGGACCCTTCCCAAAAACAGCCCCGGGAATGGTGAGAGGAGGAGGGAACACGGGCAAGGAGAAAAATGGATGGGAAAATGGTGGTGAAGTACGGAGAAATGATGTGGGAAATCATGGGAAACGTGTGAGAACACAGGGAAATGTGGGAAGCGTGTGAAAACATGGGGAAGTGTGGTAAAAATATGGAAAAAACATAGGAAAATAGGGGGAAAATTGGGGAAAAGTGAAAACACAGAGTAACATAGGGAAATGTGGGGTAACATGGAAAAACAACCACAAATGTGGGGAAAAAAAGGAAAATACAGGGAAAATATGTGCAAACATGGGAAATGTGGGAAGTGTGCGAAAAGATGGGGAAGCGTGGTAAAAATATGGAAAAACATGGGAAAACGTGGGAAAATGTATGGAAATGTGGCAAAATAGGGGAAAATGTGGGAAAAAAATGAAAGCATGGAGTAACACAGGGAAATGTGGGGTAACATGGAAAAACAAGCAGAAATATGTGGGATAAAAAGGAAAATACTGGGAAAACACGTGAGAGCACAGGGAAATATGGGGAAGCGTGGTAAAAATATGGGAAAATGTGGGAAAAAATGAAAGCATGGAGTAACACAGGGGAATGTGGGGTAACATGGAAAAACAAGCAGAAATATGGGGGAAAAAAGGAAAATACAGGGAAAACATGTGAGAGCACACGGAAATGTGGAAAGCGTGGTAAAAATATGGGAAAATGTGTGGAAATGTGGGAAAATAGGGGAAAATGTGGGAAAAAATGAAAGCATGGAGTAACACAGGGAAATGTGGGATAACATGGAAAAACAAGCGGAAATATGGGCGAAAAAAGGAAAATACAGGGAAAACGCGTGAGAGCACAGGGAAATGCGGGCAGAGGAGCCCCGTGCGCGGCAGGGCCGGGGCCGGGAGCGCTGCCCCAGGCAGGCGCTGCCCCGTCCGGCTGTGCCAGCCACGCGTGGGCGGCCCCGTCCCCGCAGGGACCCCGCGTGTGCCGCGCCCCCTCCCCGTTCCCAATCCCCTCCCCATCCCTTCCCCTCCCCGGGCCGTCACCGCCCCACGCGCGTGTCCTCGCCCTCCCCCGCCCCGCGTGGGGGCGGCGCGGCCGGGCCGGGCCCGGGGGGAGCTCGGGGGGCTCCGGGGCCGGGCGGGGGGCGCGGCGGCGGCGGCGGTGGCGGTGCGGGATGCGCGGCCCCCGATGGGATGTAGCGGGCGGCTGCTGGGAGCCGCCGGGGGCCGCCGCGCCTCGCTGCTCCTCACCATGATCCTGTTCTTCACCTACTTCTTCTCCTGCCTGCCCGGGCCCTGCGAGCCGCTGCCGCCCGCGCTGCTGCTGCCGCCGCCCGCCGCGCTGCCCGCGGGCCCGGGGGAGGCGGCGGCGGGCGCGGGGGGCGCGGGGGGCGGCAGCCGCCGCTTCCCCCAGGCCATCATCGTGGGCGTGAAGAAGGGCGGGACGCGGGCGCTGCTCGAGTTCCTGCGGGCGCACCCCGGGGTGCGGGCGGTGGGCGCCGAGCCCCACTTCTTCGACAGGTGCTACGAGAAGGGGCTGCGCTGGTACAGGTGAGGCTGCGGCAGTGAGGGGGTCGGTAATTAGCGCACAGTTAATTGCTGCCCGGGCTGGGATGCGGCGGCTCCGCAACAGGCGGGTCCCGGGAGAGAAAGGGGGTCCGGGGGTCTCCGGCGGGACCGAGCCTCGCCCGGGCTGGGAAGGGGCTGGTGGCTGCTTTTGCGAGGCTGCTGCGGTGTGAAAAGCGATGTCCTTGTCCCCGTGTCCCTCCCTGTCCCCGCGCCTCCCATCCCGCATCCCGCCCGGCCAGGGACGAAGGCGGCAGCAGAAATGCGCTCGTTTCGCTCCGCAGGCTTTGAGGTTTGAACCTTTAGCGCTTTATCCCCAGCCGTGCCCCCGTTTCCCCACCGGGTTCCTTTAGGAATTGTTTTATTCGTGTGGTTTCTTAAAAAAACACAGAAACGAGCGAGGACCTCGTGCTTGATCCTGAGCCGGGCTCGGGGCGAATCCGTGGGATCCTCGGTGGGCAAAGGGCAGAGCGGGAGTGATCCAAGGGTTTGTTTTTTGAGGGTTTCCATGGGATCGGGCTCTTCGGGCGATAAAGCGTTCGGAAGAGCAGCTACTGTGCATGTGGAGTGGATTAAACTCTGTCTCCCGGCCAGCTCCAGAGCGCTGGGCCAAGGGAGTCGGGAGCGATAAGTCCCTTGAAGCCGGGGGTGGAATCTGCCCCGTTATTCTGAAGGCAATCCAAATGTGCCGATGTATGAAAGCGCCGCGGTGTTCTCGGGGAAACATCTGAAAATAATCAAAGGAGCAGCTCTCGCTGTCCTTCCTGCCTCTCCATCCCCTTCTCCCCGAACACCGCGTTCCTCCCCATCCTTCGGGGGAGGCTGCAGCTTCCCAAGCCTCGCCGAAGTAACAACCTGTGAAAAATCAGCGTGTTTAATGGAAAGAGTAATTTCAGCGGTAATTTTACCCGCAGACTTTCAGCTCTCTGAGCCCACATCTGGGCTGTAAAGTTACGACTTAACACACCTTCAAAACCCAGTAAGTAGCGGCGCTCGTTTTTACGGCTGCATGAATATTGCCGTGATTTATGAGCTCATTCCTCTGCTCCGTTCGGGTCCGCGCCGCTCCAGAAGCAATAATGATGATCACTAATCTTTTTGGGGTGAGGACTGCGAGCTGGCTCCCGCTCGGCAGAATGGGGCTTTAATGACTGCGAGCACATCATTAAAGCGGGGAAGATCGAGCGCTTTCATATCGCTCGGCGGAGCCCGGCGAGGCTCGCAGGACGGAGCGCAGAGAAGGAGCAGAAATAAATCTGAGTTTGGATGGCTCTGCTGCGGGTTTTTAGTGCTGGAAGTGCTTGCAGGGAGCCTGGCCTGACACCAGCTTCGAGATGATCCCGCATGTGGTTGTGGTAAATTTGGGGAAATGGAGCGGGGAAGGTTTTCTGGGCTGGGGAGAATCCGCATCCTCCGGGGCGAGGCAAAAAATCAGGAGATGTTTTACTTAACTCTGCATAAAGTGTGGTTTTAATCACACACACACACACAGAGCTATTTCCCTTCGCTTCCTCTCCTCTCTGCCTCTTGTTTTGTCTTCTCACAAGACCTCGCAGTGCCCAGGGATCTTATCCCCGGCAAAGCCAGACAGAGCTAAATGTTTAAAGCTGGGGTGTGCTGGAGTGGAGGGGAAGAGGAGTTGGACAGAAACTCGGGTTTTTCCTATGGATATCTCAAAAGTGGCGTAAACATTTTTAAAATGTTTGAACTTGCTAGGAAACCGAAATTACACCAACTGCTTCTCACGCCAAGATATTTGGCCCGAAGGCACCTGTAGGTTGTTGCTTGTTTTGAGTAAATGTGGAAAAAGAATTCCCTTGGAAATATCACTCCAGAATTATTTTGTTCTTTCTTAGCAGCTCTGTCCCGTAGTGATTTCCCTGCCCTGGCAGGAGCATCTCTTCGTGGGTGATGAGTAGTTTGTTGTAAGTTACTGACTGAAATAATTTATTCTTACTGGTTTGTTTTATTTAATTTAAATTTGAAATTGGCCCAAAGCCCCCCCCCCCTTTTTTTTGGAGTAGTAGTGGAAAGAAAATGTTCTGCAAAAGCATCTCCTACAGAATTCCTTGAGTTACTACAGCTTTAGCTAATTCTGAGGAGATTAAACACCTTTTTGAGGCTGCAGCATAAATGATTTAATGGCTGATCCAAGCACGATGGGATGCTTTCTCCTCAAGCAAAACACAATTTGAATTCTTTTGGCACTCAGTGCTGCTTGAAGGAAACCTAAATAAAAAGAAGAGAGGATGCTGGGGTGTCTGCTGCCAGTTTGGGGTGTGGGGGTTCCCTGTGGGAGCCTGGAAGTGTCTGTGCCTGTTTTGTGGGAATGTAGGTGAGGACAAATGGGAAAAACTGAATTGAATCCGAGCAGTTTGGGGTGAGATTCAGAAACCCATTGCAAAACTTGGAGCACCTGTGAAGGTGTGGGGCCAGGTCCTGCCTTTGCCTGTGGGGATGGAGGAAAACAACATTAGTGGGGTGAAGGGGTTTGGGGGCTGGAACCCCCTTGGTGAGAGGGGAGCAGGTTTGGGCTCACAGGGCACATCTGGGACGTGTTCACCCCTTGCATGGCGGGGCTGGGGCTCTCCTGTGTCACTCTCTGCTCCACTGGGGACGTTTTGGGGGCGTAGCAGAATCCTTGCATGGGGTTGTTCCCTTTTGGGAGGCCAGAGCTGCTCCTGTTCCCACGCAGAGCTCCCGGCTGCTCCCCCTGCCTCGCACCCACCTCGGGGCTCTGGGGGAATGGGGCAGGAGAGGAGGGGAGCAGCAGCTCTGGGGAGCTGGAGAGGGGCCTGGCTTGTGAGAAAGGGAGTTCAGCTCTGAGGGAATTGTGTGGAAAGCTCTGAGCTCATCCAAAGAGGTCTCCCTGTCCCCATCTGCCAGAACTCTGTGGCAGGATCGGCTCAGTGTGAATGGGCTTTTCCCCTGGCCCGGGTTTCCCTGCGTGATCTGGGATCCCTATCCCTCTCCTCCTTCCTGTCCTCCTGCTGTTCCCAAGGGCCAGAGGAAGGTTTGGGCAGGAATGGTGCTGGGCCAGGGCTCCCTGCACCCCGTGTGTCCCTGGGATTGCACACACCGGACCTGTAGGAATTGTAAAGAATCCCCTATTTTTACACAGTTCACACCAGAAGCATTAAAAAGTACTATGGGATGTCTGGTGATTGTCCCTCTGCAGCCAGAGGGACACGAGGGGCTGCAATCCCCACCCGGGCATCCTCAGGCCCTGCAGAGCCAGCCCAGAGCTCCGAGACTCCGAGGCCAAATTTAACTTTTCATTGTCGTTTTCCCACCCCATCCAACACGAAAGCTGGCACGAGGGGCCAGGAACTCTCCCGGGGGTCCCTCATCCCTCTGTGCTCCTGCTGGGCTGTCCCAGCTCGGCAGCACCTCCGGGAAAAGGTGCAGGGGGAGCGGGGAGCCCTTCCCTGGCCCGTGGGGTTTGCCCCCTCCCCTTCCCCAGCCCCATTCACAGCAGCTAATATGGCTCTTGAAAGGCTTCCAGGATTTCTTGAGCCAGACTTTGTTATCTCGGAACCTCGCAACCCCGACGCCTTTGAGCGACAGGGGAAGGACGCGGCTGCGGCGCTGCTCTTTTGACTTTTGCCGGGAGTGTTATTGGCAGCTGAAAAGTGCAGCTAAGTAGGTGCCTGGAGGGGTTTTTGTGTGTGTTGTGATTGTACAGACAGATCGAGACACTCTATAGCCCGAGCTGCTGAATGGGACCGGCTCCTCCGGAGCCACCAGGCTGAGTTTTGGCACCGCTCTGCGGCCCCTTCCAGGGCGAGCTTTGCTTTCCTCGGGGAAGCGCAAAGGTGGGGACAGACAAAGGAATCCGGGCTGGCGATGCTCGGAGCTGCTCCGGGACGTTATCTTTATTCATTGGCACCGCTAATCTCCCCTCCTGATGGACTCGATTGCAGGCTCAGAGCGGCCCTTGTTCTCCCGGGCCGCTCGCAGCCGCTCAGCCCCGCAGATTCTCGCCTCTGTTTCTTTGCAATCTTTTCTCTGCCATTCACAAGTGAGACCTTTCTGTCTCAGCTTCCCGGATCCTCACCCCCGTGTTTGGGAAATGAAACCTCGAGCACAAAGAAAACATGCGGGAAACCTGAGAAAAAGCTGATTTTAACTAAGAATAAGATACACCAAAGCTTTTACTGAAGGCGTAGTGTTTTGGATCGGCTTTTATGCGCTGTTTTAGCGCCAGCCCTACTCTTAGGACCAGGCTTAAGCGCTGGGTCTCCCTGATGATGTGCCCCTGCTTTCTGCTCCCTAATTTGGGAAGCAATCCATAATTCGTGCAAAGTTTGGGTTTCTGCAAACTGCTTTCACGTGGGATTAAAAATAGCTTTTACTGCCACGATGAGGAATTAACATTTGAAACCATTTAAAGAGCTCCCAGGCAGGGATTGCTGCGGGTGGGGAGGGACAGGGGCTGTGCCTGTCCTGATTTGGGGGGTCGGGGATGGGGTGAGGAGCTCAGCTCAACCCTCCTGCCCCCCATTTTCACGCTGTTACTCCCTTATTTCCACCCGGCCGCGTTTTCTTCCCGACCCCATCAAGTGCTTCTTGCTGACCCAAGCAGGTTTGGGAGCCTGAATTTGAGCCTGAATTTGAGCCTGGCTCAGCCTCCAGGCGAAATGAAGTCGGGTTGTTCCTTGTGCTGCTGCTGAGATCGTGTCAGGCTCGAGCGATTGGAGCTGCGTGTTAATGTTGGCTGGGATTTTGGGGGATAAAAGCTGCGACTTGCAGGGTGGAAGGTGCTCATCCCGCCTCAGGAATGCTCTCCCTGTCTCTGTCTCTGTTAAATGAATGGGGGGATTACACCCGGGCTGGGCAGGGGGTGTGCAGGAGTAACCCGAGTTCCTAAAGGATTTCAGATCTGCCAGGATTTCCATCCCAGGCTGCTTAAACACACCCAGAAATCACAGGGCTAGTTTTAAAAAAATAACATTAAGGGAATGAATACCTTTGGAAAAGGCTTC